TGAAATCCTTAAGCAATTCAGCCTTTGGTGAATCTGAGCACATCTGGGGGTTTAGAGGCTTGAGCTAAAATATTCTGAGTTCTGCTGGCACAGACCTCTCAGGACTCTGGGTTCTTATTTCTTAATCCCTCTGGGTGGTAGTGTCAGAAGGAGTGTCTAGGTCAGGTTGGATGCCGTGTTCTCCCCAGGTGAGTGGTCCAACAAAGCCAGGTCCAGCATCATTCATAACTCACCTCTGCAACTCCTTTGACACAGGTCAGCTGTTTTTTTCCATCCTCTGTGCTACCAATTGTAATATAGTGATTGGATCTGATACTTTCTTTTTTAAAAAGTTTGTATTTATTAATTGTGTGTGAGGGAGTGTGTGTGGGGAGGGTGCATACCATGGTGTGGAGGTTGAGGACAACTTGAAGGAGTCATTTCTCTCCTTCCACATGCGGGTTCTGGAGCTATAACCCAAATCTTGGTAGCAAGTGCCTTTACCCACTGAGTCATCTTGGCAGCCCTAGATTTGGTACTTAATCCCCTTCCAGCCCTACATCATGTTCCCACCCTATGCTTTCTGGGCTGTGTTTCTCTTCTGACATGCCTGTCCTTGCTAAAGGACAGGGGAAGGCAGGCTGGTTTCAGACCCTTTGTTCCTGCCAGGCTGCTTCCTTCAATGCCTCCCTGGGGTTTTCAGTCCAAGTTCAGATTCCTTAACTCAATATACTAGATCTTGATTCTTAGACCGTAGTCTCTGGAAGCCATGCAGTAGAACGGTACTGTCTCTATTCCCAGCCCAAATTCTGATTAGAAGGGCCTGGGGTGGGGTTCCAGGAATCAACATGGACTATAAATACCCAAAGTGATTTTTCAAAAAGTACCCGTGTGATGGTAGTCAGATCATACTGCACAGGGTAAAACCCCCAAATAGCAGAAGGGAAGCATATGCTGACACTGTCTTCCGTTGCCTTTAGGGTCTCCATCCTAAAAGCAACCAGGTTCTAGACAGTACATATCTAAATACTTACATTTCCATTTGTGTGTTCCTGAGCACAAGAACAGGCCAGGTAACAGAGAACCCAACAGTCAGAGAACAGCTGCACCAGGGCCTCTGGGATGTGCTTCAGCTCTTCAAGACCCCTGTGATGGGCAGTCTTCTCAACCTGACAAGATTTAGAATCACCTGGGGTTTCTTTGGACTGTGAAGGTGTTTTTGGAGAGACTGAACTGAGGAGGGAAGACACCCTGAATTGGGCAGCAGCAATCCTGTGGGCTGTGGTCCCAGACTGAATAAAAAGGAGAAAGCAAGCCAAGCATTCATCTCTCTCTGCCTCTAGACTGCAGATAGAATGTGACCAGCTGCCTCATGTTCCTGCCACCATGATAGACTACATCCTCAGATGGTAAGCCAAAATAAACCTATTCCTTCTTCCTCCTTCCCTCCCTCTTTCCCTCCCTCTCTCCCTCCCTCCCTCTCTTCCTTCCTTAGATTGTCAGATACTTTGTCACAGTAATGAGAAAAGTAACTAATACAGGCTATTGAGGAGCTGTCCTTCACCTGAGTGTTTTGTCTCTATAGCCCTATTTGCTTAGAGTTTATCACCCTGTGTTGCTGCCCAGCCAATGCCTGTTTATTTGAGATGGTCTTGGGTGCCTTGCTCCCTAGGGATCCTTCCAGCCCACTCTGCCCTCACCTCTACATTCTCTGCCACCGTGTTTATTATGCCAAGAGAACTTTCTTGTTCCTTCTGTCCTTTCCTGGACTGTGGCTCATGGAGGACTGGTTCCATACAATTCTCTGGTGAATGACCTAGTCCCAGGACAGTGTCTAGAGTCCATCAATACTCACTAAATGTTGTTGACTGGAAGCAGACATTCTGTCATGTTTTTGTAGTTTGGGTTCTCCCCTCCTAATGGCTGGCAGAGGAGGAAACCTTGTACAAAAACCAGGGTGGGGGGTGAGGGGTACTCTCTAAGTATCAGGAAGGCAATGACCCTCAACTGCCAGATTCTTGGCTGAGGGGTCTCAGTGAAGGCTCAGCTCACCCTACAGAGAAGGAGGGACCCGACCCTGCATTTTCCATTATGAATTGCCTGCTGGTAGACGGCAGGCAGAGCTGGTTTGGTGGAGCATGCTTGCCAGAAGCAATGTGCCAGGCCTGCTCCACCCCACCCGTGCAGAGGGAGCAGGTGGCCTGGGCTGCAGGGAGGGGGATAGGGAGACCCACAAAGGGAGGGGCATGGGAGAGGAAATTGAAAAAGCAAAGTGGGGGGGGCAGCTTGGGGTGTGCGGCTGGCCAGGCGGTTGTTTAACGAGTAAATGTGCCAGGAACGCTAATGAGCTGTGTTCATTCATGGAGAGCTGCCTCTAGAATTGGGGGAGCCTGCCCGGTTCTGGGGTGGAGGAACCAGGGATGAGAGCCAAGTTGGGGAGCTGCCCAACTGCTGGGGAAGGGCCTCCCAGTGATGAGTTGGCGGGGGAGTCTTTGTCCTGGGTCTGAGTTGCCCTCCTTCCTTCCCTCCATTCAAAGGAAAGGCCAGGCCTTTCCAGGCAGTGACAACTTGGCTCAGGGCCTGTTTGGAACTTACTGGCCAGGCTAGTCTGGAAGCTTCTAGGGTAGGGACTAGCTCTTGGGAGCCACAGGCAAGGCTCATCTTGTACCCCTGCTACTGGCTCTCACCCCTTCCCACACCCATTCTCCTAGCCTCTCTGAGGACTCCAGGGCATATCTCCTGGTTAATCAACACTCTCCCCTTCCCCACATGGGTCCTGGCTTCTAGGGGCCTGTGAGGTTATGGGATTGGGGGAGGGGCGTACCATTGGAGCAGAAGGTGGAAAACCAGGCATCTTCAACAATCTCAGTGCTGTCTGTGACAGGCCTACTAAGTGTTCAATGCTGAAGTAGGTGCCAAAAGAGGAAGTAGAGAAGCCAAGGGGGTGGGTAGGGATGGTGCTTTGCCCCTGGGTGTCAGGGAAGAAGCACAAGTGTAAACAGCTCCAGATACTGAGGAATAAACAATGCAGACACTAAGGCATGAGGATTTTCCTCTGCAGAGGCTGAGGGTGGCTCAGAGAAGGAGCTGGTTTGCAGGGAAGAGAGGAGAGGTGCCATTTCATGTTCTGGCTTGGCTGGTGGAAGGTTCCTTAATATTGGGCTATTAATACGAGATAAGGGCCCTCTGAGAAAGCCTCCTCCCTCCCTGAGTTACTGAATTAGTAACCCAAGTGCTCGTGGCGAGATGGAGGTCATGCACCCAGTATCTGTGAATACTTGTAGTAAAGTGATCCAGAGTCTACAAGATCAGCCATGCGAGTGTGGCATACTAGTTACAGCACTGCGCCTGCAAAAAAATCTTATTCAGACGGAAAAGAAAAAGCAAAGGAAACCCCTGAGCCTTGAGCTCCAGGAGGGCCATTTGCCTCTGATTTGCTGGGTTCAAATTGCTGCCGCACTGAGCCTGGCCCCTGCTTTCCAGGATCCGTCCCTTTCTTTCTGCTTTTTCCCAAGAGGAGATTCCACAGCAGCTCCAAAGGGGCAGTTGATTCTTGAGCATCTCAGCCACCTCCATGTGCCCAACTGTGTTAGCTCCACCCTAAGCCCCACTCATGGGGCTTAGCCCACCATGACCTCAAGACCTTGTTTGGAGGGTCTAGCAGGGAGACCCTTGAAGGACAGTCCTCCTCTACTGGGGAAATCTCTTAGACTGAGTGTGCAGCTTTGGGAGGGACACACATGGAGTGGTAAGAAAGGGAGAGGACCCTCATCTTGCTAGCAAGGTCACCCAATCAACCCTGATGATCAATGGGATGATAGATGTCTCAGCCAGATCTCTCTCACATCCAGAGCTCAGGTCTCTGGAGCCCCAGGAAGCCCCAGCTGTCCTTGGTTTGGGGGAGGTGCTTCATTTTTCTGGAGTTGAAGGGAATTTTGCCCCTCACTGGGTTTCTTGTTCACACACACACATCCACAACTATGTGGGAGTAAGTAAGGTTCTTGCCCATGGTGGGTATGAGGCCTGGAGTCCTATACAGGTGGTCTGTGACTGCAGGTGGGCTGTGACCAGTTGGTAAATCTTTCCCAAACAGATCGTGGGTCTTTTGATGGCAGCACTGAGTATTTCTTTTCATCTGTTTGCACCTGTCAGATGTGGAGAAGGCCTGGTGTGAGTTGGGGGAGATGTCTGTTGAATTTCCAAGGCCTCTGACAGGCTGCTCCCCAGTGGGACACCAGTGAGGAGGCCTGGGTAGAAAACACCTTCCTTCTCTTGAGCAGGGTCTTTTTCATTCCAGCTGACTGGCTTCTGTTCCTGGAAGAGTAGAGTACTGCCATCTGGGGAGAATGTGTGTTGAGGGAGAAGAGACCAATTGGGCTAAGGCTTTTGTGTCCTTCCAAGGTTCTGCCCTCAAGGTCCCAGGGTAAGCAAGGGACAACAGCTTGGAGAGGCCACCTGGGACCTGAAGCTTCGGTTCACCAACGATTGACAAAGGAAGTATGGTGGGGCTCGAGGGCCTCTTCAGCCACTGGGTCCCAAGGACGGTGTGGGGTGGGGGCAAAAAAAAAATCCTTTTGCTTCTCTGGACTAGCAGCTGGTGCCACTGGTGCTGAAGTGACTGGTCGAAATGTGCACATCCTCGCCGTATGTGCGTGAGTGTGTGTGTGTGTGTGTGTGTGTGTGTGTGTGTGTGTGTCTAACATCACACCGGAACCCACTCCGCAGGTCTAGCCGGGTCCCCTCCTCCCCGCAGCCCCTGCCCTGCGGCGGCGCCTCTGAGGTTGCACCTTTGAAACTGTACGCCAGCGGCTGGCCAGCTGAGGGGTGGTGAGGAGGAGGGGGGTGGTGGTCCGCGCTGGGGGGAGGGTGGGGAGGAGTCTGGCTCTGGATGTGTGCCTTTCGATTGATGGATGACTGCTGGGTGGGAGCGAGCGTGCGGGTGTGAGCGTGTGTGTGTGTGTGTGTGTGTGTGTGTGTGTGCGCGCGGGGTGCGTGCGCGCGCGGGGCCTGCCCATTTTCCTCCTCGCAGCAGTCAGTTGGGAGCTGGAGGGAGACGCAGGCGGTGAGCACCGGAGAGTAGCCGAGAGTGGAGCCGAGTGCCCTCAGCCCAAGGCGCCTTCTCTAGGTCCGCGCACCAACACCATCACTGGGAGCCTCTAGGTGCCTCCGGGGGCCGCGAGGGCGCATCATCGCTCCAGCCCCTCCATCATCGCCCCAGTCCCTCGGTTATTCCGTGGCTTTGCGGCGGACGGCACCTGGAGGCGGCCCCGGACGGGGATGGTCAGAGGCTGCGGCCGTCTGGCACGCGAGCGGGACGCGGCGAGGGCACGATGGTGCTGACCCCCGAGCACGGGTCCTCGGTGAGGCTGGGCCGGCCGGAGCTGTGGCTGCTGCTATGGGCAGCCGCTTGGCGTCTGGGGGCCACGGCGTGCCCCGCCCTCTGCACCTGCACGGGCACCACAGTGGACTGCCACGGCACCGGGTTGCAGGCCATCCCCAAAAACATCCCACGGAACACCGAGCGCCTGTGAGTATGGCCTCTGTCGGTTCTCTGGAACACCCCCCGCTCAGGTTGCTCTCCCACCCAGATGCATGCGAGGACCAGCGGTGGGGTGGGAGGCGCAAGACTGTTAGGTTCTGCCGCCAATAGATAGGTCAGTGCCTTGCTGGATCTTTCTGGAGCCTGGAGCCAAGAGCATGGCTGTTTCCCTATGCCAGATTCAAAAGGCCAGCCCATCCTCACACCTGTCTCCTGTGCTCTGTACTAGAAGGCCCTTCCCACTGCGCCAGCACTATGTTCCTCCAGGGTGCCTGCGAATCCCTGCCAGAAAGCTTTCCTTTCTGGAGGAGGGAAGCTTCCCACATGTGCCAGGCAGTGTCTCCTGGACACATGGGCTTAGGTAGTTCTAAGTGGTGTGAGTCTGGAATCCCAGGGCTTTTCCTGGTCCTATGGAGCATAAGTTTCTGGGCTCCAATTCTCTCCATTGTTTGCCCTCAGAGCCTTGAGAATTCTTCCCTTGCAGGTGTCAGCAAGACCCAGCTCTTGTCCCATCCCTAGCCAGGCAGACAATGGGACATGAGGGCTTTGGGATTGGGGCTTAGGGCATTCAGCACCCAGAGAGAGGGGTAGGTGAGTCCTGGATTGGGAACTCCAATAAGGTTGTGAGAGGTCAGGAGCTGAGTGGAGATACAAGGTTAAAGACACCAACCATAATGGGTCATAAAGCCATCATTTCTCTTCCCTTGCTACTTTCTACTTTTGAATTCTTGAGGAAACTCAATTCTTTCTGGACTTGTGGAGTGTGTGGGTGTGGGTGTTTACAGACTTGTATGAATGTGTGTTCTGCTGTTCTGCAGAATGTGGTTTATGAATGTGTATTCTGCTGTTCTGCAGAACGTGAAAACCCAGCCTCTAAGCACACCTCAGGAGTGTGAAGCCATGGGTCTGTGTATGTGAGTGTGTATATATTTTTATTCACAGGTAGGGCTTTTGTAAGGCTGTCAGAGGTGACCACACCAGGAGATTTTTGATCAGGACTTTGGAGAACGTTGTGACTGCTGCTTTGAAAACGGTTTCCCCTTTCTTTCCGCACTCTTTGGTGACTGCAGTGATTCTTAGAAAGTATACAGATTTTGATAACTTTTGAGCACATTTCTTTGACTCCCAGCTGGTCAGAGGCAGACCCTGGGGAGAGCTGTTGCCTAGATCAAACTCTGTACTTTTGTATCAAGGCCAGCAATTAGTGAGCACACACTTGCCCTAGACTCTTCTTGGCTTGGTTTGAGACATTCCCGTGGCGGTTTCAGAGAATTTGCAATCTGCATGCAATCTAGTTGGGAATCAGGTGTGTGTGTGTGTACGTGTGTGTGTGTGTGTGTGTGTGTGTGTTGTGGTGTATGGTGTGTCTGGATAAAAATGGGGGTGGGATGGAGACACCAAACTGAGTTTCCTTGGGGTAGCCTGTGCATTTTCCCACATGGATCTGGAGAGGAGGACTGAGTTTGCCTGGTCACCTGCCTGGGCTGTTCCCTCTGGACAGACTCCCTGTTTCCCCTGTCTTGTCCACTGGGGTGTTTCTGCTGCAGCTGTTACTCTGGCAACTAGATGTGAGGCACACAAGCCCCTCTCCTTTGCTTTGGGACCTTGAATCTTCTACATCTTTGTTTTCTCACCACCTTGAATATTTAGGATAGTGTCTGCTTCCACTTTTATGAATTCTTTAGTCTTCTGTAATCAATGAAATGGAAACGAAATTTCCTAGGATATTGCAGAGTTGAGGGTGGCTGTTAGACACCATCTAACAGCATCTGAGTTGGAAGTCCAGCTTTGCCATGTATTGGCGGTGTATCTTTGGGCAAGTTACAAAACTTCTCTGAGCCTTTGTTGTTTCCCATCATGAAAACATAGTTCAGGATATGTTGGGTCTCTGGTTCTTGTGAGAATAGAAGGCAATGCATGGAAAAGTGTAATGTTCCAATGCTTGCTAACTGAGGGTGAGTGCCTAATGCTAGCAGAAGGAGAAATGTTTCTTAAATGTTTCTTTCTTTCTTTTTTTTTTTTCCTTTGGTCTTTTCGAGACAGGGTCTCCCTGTAGCCCCAGAAGGCCTGGAACTCGCTATGTAGACTAGGCTGGCCTCGAACTCACAGAGATCTACTTGCCTCTGCTTCCTGAGTACTGGGATTAAAGATATGTGCTGTCACCCCCAGCAAAAAGTTTCATTATTTTAATACAGCAAATGTGTACCAAGCTGGGAACTATGCTGGGTACTGATGTCCCAACAAGGAATGATTCTGTTGCTGCCTTCAAGGGGCAGATGGTGTGGAAAACTGGGCAGGGGGCCTCTACCTATAGGCTATAGGGAGGGGGCCAGACTGGCCATGTGATGGGAATGTGAGAATACTGGGGTGAGAAACCCTTTTTTAGGGTGAAAGGGCTTCTTAAAAGATGGACTGTGTTGTCAGGGTTGGTGGGTTTTGCCAAACAGAGCACAGGAAATGGAGGCAGAGGTGATCCCATGAAAACAAAGCCTGTGGCTGTGAGTGGTCTGGCCTGGTGACAAGCAGACCAACCTTTTCTTGGGGATGAATCATGCTGGGTCCAGAGATGAGAAGGGCCTAGGGGCTGGAGGGAGAGATTGGGAATGGCCAGGAAGGCCTTTCTCCAGCTTTGAGTTACCCTTGGGGATGTCTGGGTGGGAGTTCAGGGTGAGCATCTGGGAAGGCAGAAGTGCTAAGCTTCTGGGGTAGAAAGAGGGTAAAGTACTCACCAGGCAGGCCTGGGACAAGCTACTGGAAGAGGAAAAGAACATTCTGAAAGGCTTCTGTCAGAGTCCAGGCCCACCTAGAATTACCGAGGCAAGTGCTCTTCCTGATCAACATAGAGTACTGTGCAGTATCAGAGCCTGGCCAGCAGCTCCCCAGGCTGGGAAATGTCTTCTACAAAAGGCTGTGTGTTTGCTTTCTGTTTTCTGGGCAGCTTCTTCAGTAGCTGAGGGACTCAGGCAACTTTATGACCATATTTCTATAACTCTGGCTCAGACCTGTCCTCCCAAGTGGGAAGAAATTGACATTGGTTTGCTGTGAAGACTTCTGGGAAGAGGTTATGTATAGGGCCCAGTGCTGCTAAGGAAATTGGTCCAGCCACAGGGGCTGTGGGTTTGGGGGCTGGTGGAAAAGGGATGTTAAATAATTCACTGTAATGGAACAATTACAGTACAGAGTGAGGATTGGGGGAGGCGTTGGAGAAGACTAGGGAAGAGTCCTGTCTTTGTAGGGCCCAGGCTCAAAGGGACTCAGCCACAGCTATCAACTGTTAACTTTTCTTTCCACTCAAGGATCTTGACTTTCAGTTGGAATTTTTTTTCTTTAAAAATATTTATTATTTTTATTTTATGTGTATGAGTGTATTGCCTACATGTATGTAAGTATACCTGTGTCATGCAATACCCACGGAGGTCAGAAGACGATGTCAGATTCCCCTGGAACTGGAGTTACAGACAGTTGTTAGCCACCTTGTGGGTGCTAGGAATCAAACCTGGGTCCTTTGCAAGAGCAGCCAGTGCTCTTAACCACTGAGCCATCTCTCCATTAGAATGTGACAAGAAGGTATATTTTGTGGACATTGCTCTGCCCCTCCATCCTGGTACTTATATTCTAGGCTTGCCTCTGAGTCCCCTGTGGGTATAGAGGGGGAAAGGCATTAGCCAGACCTTCCCAAAGGTCATCCAAAGATGGAGAGAGGTGAGGCAGGACCTCTGGAAGGTCAGCTTGCTTTTTGCTGTTTGCCCCCAAGTCTAGCACATTCTGATGCTTGCCAGGCTGAGACTTGCTCTCTTGCCATTCTCTGTGTCCCTGGGTCTTTTTTGCCAGTTTGTTTATCTTGCCCTATCTGTGCACATGCTGTCGAGGGTCATGACTGGCCTGGGCTCTGTCCCTTGAGACTGCATTCAACAGGGCTGAATGGTTATATCCAAGGACAGATCTCCAGGGCACCCCAGGGCTGATGGTCTGGGGAACCCATTTGGGGTCCACATTATGATGGGATTGAGGCCAGGGGCCACTGAAACCACATCTGTCACCAAGGCCTGACTGGTCTTTGATCTCCTGGCTGTAATACTCGGGTCCTACAGCAGAGACCTGTGCTGAGCAGGGGAGTTGGCCCCGGTGGGGAAGAGTCTCTCACTCTTGTAGGCATTGGTGTGGTAGTCAGTGAGCTGGGCTTGCAACTGGACCCTGAGTACTGGTATTGGGTCCCAGTGGTGAGGCCCTGTTTACTCACATATAAAGGGGAAGAGTTAAGGAGAGATTGCATGTAGGGCTTGGTGCCAAGCATGGCATGTGGCTGGTATTCTACCTTCCTTTGTCCTGTGGGGATAATTCTTCCCATCCTCTAAAACCTTTACAAGGACTCACTCAAACTGTGTTTGTGAAAATGCTTCATGATTCAAACATTGGGTCTAATATTGTGAGAAGCCCACATTAAAGTTGGAGGGTTCAGGTGGGCACAAGGAAGTTAAGGAGGTATCTCCTGAGGGTTGGCCATGCTGCAGACTGCCCTCCTGGGCTCCTGCTGCTCAGAGTGCATGGGCATGATACCTGGCCATCTTTTCCCTTGGTTCCCTGCAATTTGGATGCAGGGAGAAGGAACTCTGCAGGGTGGAGGGTGGTGAAGGCATGGCTCTAGAGCTGCCTGCCTGGTGTTTTGTTAGCCTTGTTCTGCCTTTTGGAAGCCAGGGCATACTGGGCAAGCTGTGGGGTTGCATTCCCTCATTCAACAGATAGCTGCCATCTATTGAACTCTGTGTAGTGCTAGTGGAAGGAGAAATTGCCTCTCTTGAGTTCCAGAATGGCCCACTATGAGAATAAACACATAATTGCAAGTGGAGATAAGTGCTTGAGAGGAGAGCACTTCCCCAAACCCCCATTTTCTTGCCCCTAAAGTGAGGGTGATGATAGGACCTGCTTCAAAGGCTGGGACTGAGGATTAAATGTGATAATAGGCGGAGGGAAGTGCTGTATACCTCACA